TTAGCCATCTGTATGTCTTCCTTGGAGAAATGTCTGTTTAGTTCTTTGGCCCATTTTTTGATTGGGTCATTTATTTTTCTGGAGTTGAGCTGGAGGAGTTGCTTGTATATTTTTGAGATTAATCCTTTGTCTGTTGCTTCGTTTGCTATTATTTTCTCCCATTCTGAGGTAATGTCTGCTTTTTAATAGTCATATCATTTGCAAATATTTCTCCTATTCAGTAGGTTGTCTTTTTGTATTGTCAGTGGTTTCCTTTGCTGTGCAAAAGCTTTTATGCTCCATTAGGTCCCATTTGTTTACTTTTCCTTTTATTTCTTTTACTTTAGGAGATAGATCCAAAAAAAAAATTTGCTACAATTTATGTTAAAGAGTGTTATGCTTATGTTTCCTTGTAGGAGTTTTATGGTTTCTGGTCTTACATTTAGATCCTTACTTCATTTTGAGTTTATTTTTGTATATGATGTGAGAGAATGTTCTAATTTCATTCTTCTACGTGGAGCCGTCCAGTTTTCTCAGCATGACTTACTGAAGAGAGTGTCTTTTCTCCATTGTGCCTCCTTGCCTCCCTTGTCATCCGTGCTGTTGAGTCCGTATCAGCCGCCTCTGGTTGTCTTCCTGCCTTTTGGCCACGTGCACTCACAGCTGCTTCTCTTCTCTCCCCTGTAGTTACTGGGGCTTCCGGATGCAGATGATGACGCTTTTGAAGAGTACAGTGCAGACGTGGAAGAGGAGGAGCCAGAAGCGGACCACCCCCAGATGGGGGTCAGCCAGCAGTAGACTTCCAAGGGCTCCCGCCTGAGAAGGAGCGTGAGCCCCGTGTACCTAGGGTGGGGTCGAGAGCTCCTGGGTTAGCATTTTGCGTTAGCACTTCGAAACAGGACGTCTGACTCCCAGCATCCAAATTAATATGAAATACCTTCTTAATGACCACACAATATCTGGGATGAGCTTTGCTCAGAAGTGACCTGAATTTTACTCCCGTTTCAGTGGGTCTCTATGGAGTTGTCTTGGTAGCCTTTGCCAGTTTGAATTTAGAGTCCATTCTGTGGCTGACTGTTCTCTCTTGAGTTTATGTTGGAGAACTAACGTTTGCTGACTCGAATGTTGAGAACTCTGAATGTATTAAGGGTATGCGTTGAGTCATCACAGGTGACGTTATTGAGGGAAAGCATGGCAGAGAAGAAATGCAGTCTGCACTTTTAATGTACCTTTTAAGTGTGTGTAAGTGGAAGGTTTTGCTTATAAAGCATGAGTTTTAATATCTAGTCATTAAAACTGCCCAAGTGCGAATACACGGGCAGAAAAGGAGAATTACTTAATTTTGGATTAAGAGGGTAAGAGAGGCAAAGACGCCTTTGTTTAAGTGTTCTGCCATTACTGAGTTACCTGGATATAGAGCAACTGGTTCATGGTTAGGTAGAAACATTACTTGCATGTTCAATTATTTTAAAACATGCTGATTCCAAAGCCACATTTAAAGTGGAGAATATAAATGGGGTGACATAAATTATTGATTTCTTGAAAACGTTTATAAGCCACCCCCATATGAAATGAAACATTTACCTTCTCTCCTTATAACAAGATGGCAACTTATTAAATTATGAAAACATCCCGAATCCAAGTGCCACTTAAACTTTGAAGCCATAGATAAATTTAAAAGGAAAATAAAGCAGGATAAAAAAAATTTTTTTTAATATGATGGAATCCTTTACTTCCTTAATTCATCTCTTATTCTTTCAAAAAAGTCAAGAAAAGGATCCCACTCTATAATTTATTTAAAAATTGTAATCAAGTGCTTTGAAGAACTCAACTGCAATGAAGTCATAAAGTGATATGAAGGTGGGACTTTCTAAATCATGGGTTAGCTTGGTTCAGTGGGGAAGTTTTAATGATCAAAATAGTCAGACAACTCACAGAAACAACTGTGATAATAACTGGAAACACTGCTGTCACCTTTTGGCCACAAACACTGAGTGGGGAAATTCTTTGCAATGCTAACATGGAATTATTTAGAACATTCATTTTTCTTAGACCCTTCTGCATCTCTGGTTTTAATAAAAGATGCGGACTGCCTCTTTTACAACACTTGACAAATCGTAACATCTGGGGTGGAACTGTTGTTAACATGCACACATGTGCCTGTTGGGTTGTCAAAGTTTTAGATTAAGAAAGCAGTGGTAGAGGCCACAGAGCTTATGGGAGTCTTGTATATCTTCCAGGCATGTCGGTGTAAACTTGATTATCTCAACATTTTCTGTTTAATTGATTGGTGCTGTGAGGAGCGCAGCTGCTCGTGGTTAAAATGGTGTCCTGCAATTTTAAGTCATTGGGTAAAATAATTTCGCGGTTTCCATCCGTGCTTCAGTGCCCACGTTTTGTCTTGATTTTTTTTTTCTTGGAAAGACATATTAAAGGTTAACTTGAAGTGAAATGAATTTCCTTCAGAGTAGCCTGTTAACAAAGCAAACCTTGAGGTTTCATCCAGCGGGGTAAGCAGACTCCATGCCTTGCTCTCATGCCCGTGTTCTGATTGGCTGTGTACCTGAGCACAGGTGATTGGAATTGCACCCCCCAGATCCATAAGCTCCATTTTCACACGGTAGGCCGAAAGGATGACTTCTGCCACCAAGATGAAGACGCTTGACTAGCTTGCTCCATTCAGAGGTAAATTGGAAATTTTGTAGTTCGATGCTTAAAAATCTAAATTTACATATGTTCGAAAATGGAATGGACATTAATATAAAATGTATTTTATGAAAAAAGTGTTTAGGCTTTGACCAGATGCATTTTGGTATTATTATGCGAATGTTCTCTGTTTATAAAAATTGAGCTGAGATAAACTCAGCCATTCCATGCCGGGGAGAAATCTGGTCTTAGTTCTGCCCCCAGGGGTTGGGGGGAACATCGCTGTGTGTTTCTTATTTTTGTGGCAAAACCCCAAAGAACTTTGCGAATCAGATTGTTTCCTCTAAAGCTTCGTTTTCTCTGATTGTGCATATCCGCTCCAGTGCACGCTGACACACGTGCACACATACACACACCCACCAGCGCTGTGGATTCTCTGTTTGGCACTAGAGCTTGCTCACTGTGGAGCCTCACCTGGCTGGTCAGGGACACAGGCAGCCTGTGGTTCTCATTATGAAAGTGGTTCCCTGGCTAGACTCACAAACACACAAACGCACTGACTGGAGAGACTCTGTGGCCCCACGGGAGGAGCGGAGACCCAGGAGTCAGGAGAGAGGCCTGGCTTTAGTCCTGACTCTGCCGGTGACCTTGGGCCAGTCACTTTACTCACCTAAAGCAGGTGGTGTTTGCCTTCCTGCTTGAAACACTGCCCTTCCTTAACTGTCTTATTGTGTGTGTGTATCAAGAGCTACATACAGTCAAGGAAACTCTTCAAGAAATGCAAAGGAAATACCTTATTATGAATCTTCTTTGTGTTGGTCTGAGTGTTCACAGCCTCTTAGCCCCGATGCTAAGGGGCTGATGAGATTCTTTTCCTTGGGTGAGAAGGTGAAGGAGGGCCCCCAGGAATGTGGAAAACACACTTATTCCAGTTGGCGTGCTTTGCTGTGGAAGGCAAGGGTTTTCCTGGTGCCCTGACAGACTGAGGCTTTGGCAGTAGAATATGTTTAACTTAACTGAGAAGGGGAATTCACATGAGGAATAGCTGGGAGAGAGTGAAAGATGAGTACTTTGTCGCCATGTCATCCAGGGAGAGAGAAAGAAGTAATAGGAAGTGACTGAGTGTGTATGCACAGTCATGTGTGTGAGTGTGGGTGGGTGTGTGAATAGGCGGATGGTTGGTTGATTATTGATCACTGTGGCCTAACTGTGAAGTCATGCCCGTGATAACATTACAAAACCTGGATCCCAGGTTTGAGTGAATCACAGAAACACTTTTCTGATGGTGATACAGTTACTTTCCCTGCCTAATAATCATACTGAAGAGACTTTGGGGAATTGAAGAACAGATTCTGGAGGGAGGTGAGACCCCCTAGTATGCCTGTCATCACCCTGGAGACCCCAGTGTCCACCCAAGTCTTCCAGGCTCCCAGCAGCACATAGTGCTTTTCCCCCCATGCCTAGAACATGAAAAGTCTCTTATTTAGGAGTTCTCCTTGTGTCCTGGTGCCAGAATCAAGGTTTCCAGTGTCTGCAGGTGAAACCTCTCTCCTGCCACAGTCAGTGTCCACGTAGGAGCAGAAACCTTTCCCCAGCACAAGTATAGCTCTAAATACTGCTTCCGGTTCATGAGAGCACAAAGTGTTTGCACCCAGAGGAGCTGTGATGCTAGAGCATTGTCAGAATTTATATTTTAGAAATCTTGCATATTAAAATGTACAGGTGGGGAATCTGTGGTATGAATAGACCTGATTTCCCATGGTTTGAGTGAAGACACCTAAGAATAGGCAGGACTTAACCTGTGGTAGGAGGAGATGAGTGAGGTGTTCAATAGAATGACAGAGTTAGGGTCTGACTCTTTAAATAAATAAAGCCAAGAGGCAGTTATTCTATAAAGTACAAGAGAACTATTTTCCTGGCTATCTCACCAGGGTCCTGCTTTCCTGAAAACGGACTGCTTGCCTGTTGAGAGGCAAGGCCTGAGTGAGGGGTGGCTTTGTGGCTTTAAAAATCCACCCCCACCCCAGCCAAGGAGACAGTGGATATCCTGCAAATTGGTGGAATTCTGTTCCTCATTAAACCACCAGCCTGAGAAGCCTGTATTTCCAAAGTGCTGTCAGATCTGAGAGGGGCCACTGATCACCTGGCAGGCAGGAGAACCAAAATTGACCTCGCTGTCAGCTGCAGAGAAGGGTCTGTATCAGAAGTGTCCCTGCTGGCCAGAGGGCAGAGCCCACCTCCTCCACCATGCTTCCGGATTGTAGAAAGAGCACAATTGAAACTCAAGTGGATCCCAGATCCAGCTTCCTTCTAGTGAGTGTTAACTTCAAAGAGATGCCATTGCCTGATGGTGTAGTCTTCAGAGTACCAGAGAAGCCTCAAATGTTTTGCATTAAAAATGAATCCTCTTCCATAAAGACACAATCAGTTATCTTGGTGATATTAGGTATGAGGTGAAAGGCTGAAGTCTTCTGGATTTTATGCAGACTAATTCTCAGACTTGCCAGAATGCCAGTAGCCACTGGTATCCGTGGCAACGTGGTGTCTGTGGTAAAATATATTGCTAAAGCTCATGTTCATTGGGCAGGTTGTTAATAAGATGTCTTTGATATCTGTACTCACATTTGGATTACAAAAACAGAGGACCCGTGAGCATTTCATGTTGTAGAAAGTCCATTTAAAGCATGGTATGGTTGAATAGGCACAAGTAGTTAAAAGCAGGTGCCAGGCCACACACAGATGAACATTTAGTTTGCTGAGAACTGTGCATTCAAGTTGTTCAGTACCACGGAGAAAGCTGACGGTCTGTTCTTTGTAAAAACTGCCTTTGCCTGTTTTTTCCTTTTGTTTTTGTTTCTTCAGATTCATTTTTTTTACTTTAAATACCTTCTGATAACTAGGCAGATAAGATACAGAGCAGTGCTTTGTATCTCCTCAGCTTTTTAGAGGAGAGAGTAAACCATCAGTTTTAGGGAAAACCTGAAACCATCTGTGAACAGTCTTCATTTGTGTAAGAGCGCAACGTTGAGCTAGCCGCATCAGAAGCAAAAGCAAGGAATGGTTTGGGGCTTTTGTTTTTTAGGTGAGAAATGTTTCATGCCGGGTGTGTATGCTTTCTTTGCCTTTATATTTCTTTTTGGGGTGGCTTTGTGGCTTTAAAAATCCACCCCCACCCCAGCCAAGGAGACAGTGGATATCCTGCAAATTGGTGGAATTCTGTTCCTCATTAAACCACCAGCCTGAGAAGCCTGTATTTCCAAAGTGCTGTCAGATCTGAGAGGGGCCACTGATCACCTGGCAGGCAGGAGAACCAAAATTGACCTCGCTGTCAGCTGCAGAGAAGGGTCTGTATCAGAAGTGTCCCTGCTGGCCAGAGGGCAGAGCCCACCTCCTCCACCATGCTTCCGGATTGTAGAAAGAGCACAATTGAAACTCAAGTGGATCCCAGATCCAGCTTCCTTCTAGTGAGTGTTAACTCCAAAGAGATGCCATTGCCTGATGGTGTAGTCTTCAGAGTACCAGAGAAGCCTCAAATGTTTTGCATTAAAAATGAATCCTCTTCCATAAAGACACAATCAGTTATCTTGGTGATATTAGGTATGAGGTGAAAGGCTGAAGTCTTCTGGATTTTATGCAGACTAATTCTCAGACTTGCCAGAATGCCAGTAGCCACTGGTATCCGTGGCAACGTGGTGTCTGTGGTAAAATATATTGCTAAAGCTCATGTTCATTGGGCAGGTTGTTAATAAGATGTCTTTGATATCTGTACTCACATTTGGATTACAAAAACAGAGGACCCGTGAGCATTTCATGTTGTAGAAAGTCCATTTAAAGCACGGTATGGTTGAATAGGCACAAGTAGTTAAAAGCAGGTGCCAGGCCACACACAGATGAACATTTAGTTTGCTGAGAACTGTGCATTCAAGTTGTTCAGTACCACGGAGAAAGCTGACGGTCTGTTCTTTGTAAAAACTGCCTTTGCCTGTTTTTTCCTTTTGTTTTTGTTTCTTCAGATTCATTTTTTTTACTTTAAATACCTTCTGATAACTAGGCAGATAAGATACAGAGCAGTGCTTTGTATCTCCTCAGCTTTTTAGAGGAGAGAGTAAACCATCAGTTTTAGGGAAAACCTGAAACCATCTGTGAACAGTCTTCATTTGTGTAAGAGCGCAACGTTGAGCTAGCCGCATCAGAAGCAAAAGCAAGGAATGGTTTGGGGCTTTTGTTTTTTAGGTGAGAAATGTTTCATGCCGGGTGTGTATGCTTTCTTTGCCTTTATATTTCTTTTCGAAGAAATCTCTTGTAAATTACAGAACTGTGAAATGGGTTGCCAAAAACTGTTGCCCTTCGTTAGATGCTTCAGCAGTGTAAACCCCAAATTGAACCCTGTCTACACCTGCTCCTTCCTCACTCCCCTGCGGGTGAGGATCTCATCCAACGATGTAATTACCATACGCTTGCTATTAAAGAGCCTTCCAATCTCTGGTGACGTGTGCCTCTTGTTTACCGTCTCCACCACCTTTGGTCCTAAAGGACACCTTACTTGATCCGAAGGGGACGGGAACTGGGGATCATCAGCCAGCTCTGTGGTGCTGGTTGTTGGGGCCTGGCTGGGGTAGTAGTGGGCAAGTGAGGATGTGATTACAACAACCACTGATACGATTCAGATGTTAATAATTGATGTATTTGGAAACATTAATCTATTCTGATGCTGCAGCTGGTCTTTAGTAGTTTTCCACTTTTCCTTCGAACTTTAGATTTTTTTTTTTTTGTCCTAATCAGGAATCCATTATGGCACCAATTAGAAACCCGCGGTCATTCTGTGATGACAGGACACTATTTCCCACTACTTTCCTCCCACTTGTTATTCAGAAACAGTGGCATTTAAAGAATAAATCTGGAAGTTGGTAATAAGTCCCGTTATTTAAGAGCAAGTTTCTTTCCCCAAATGAATAGGTCTCCATAGATTGTTAAATTAGATTTGCGATTGCCTGAAATAGACACAGCCTAGAAGCTCATGTGTGTGTTTCCGGCAACTTAACTTGTGCTGCTTCGTTTTAACATGGCTGTTGTCAGAGACTGTACTGAGTGGTGGGCAGTGTACAAGCTTGCAGACCTCATTTAGTGGCCATGATGTGGTCTTCAAAGCCTTTCTTACAAGAGAATTCCCTTGTTACTGTTAGTCGAGCACTCTCACAGATAGACCTTTTGGTTTTTAATATTTATTTGGCTGCATCGGAACTTAGTTGATGCATGTGGGGTCTAGTTCCCTGACCAGAGATCGAACGTGGACTCCCTGCATTGGGAGCATGGAGTTTTAGCCATTGGACCGCAAGGGAAGTCCCTCACAGATAAGACTTTTAAAAATGCAAGCCTGCTACTCTTTACAAGTGCAGGTCCTAGTGTTCCCTTAGCAGAGACTTTTTCTCTACTTGGTTGTCCTAGGACAAGGCTCTAACCCAGTCTCCTCCCTGACTGGCTGTGTGATCACAGGCTTGTCACCTCCCTGCCCCCCCATCTCTCTTTCCTCATCTGTAAAGATAAGAGTATGGATTCATTTCCAAGTTCCCTCCGGGCACTAGTGTTGTGGGGGCATGTCTTGACTAGTGAGATCAGGGTAGGAGGGAAGCAAAGTTTATAAGGAAAGTGCTTTCTCAGGAAACCAGGGCTGGACGACCAACACTGGCAAAACTATTTCTCCATTTTGAACCCGTGTTCTCTAAGATCCCTTTTAGAAATAAAGAGTCCAAAAGAGAGGGATTAATAGTTGGAGCAGAGGGGATTTTTAGGGCTTTTAGTAGGGAAACTACTCTGTGATACTGTAATGGTGAATCCATATCGTTATAAATCTGGCCNCTATAACAAAATGGGGTAATTTGGGGTGATTTGCTTAGGGATGTAAAGAATAGTCTTCTTTCCTTTAGAAATGGATCTTGTGTTCATAATAAAGTCAGGCCAAGTGGGACCTCCCAATGTCCCTAGTTTTCATTTTGGATGTAAATGGGTTGAAATAAAATAAACAAAACCCAGTGTTTGTACCCTGCACCGGAACTGGAGCCAGTGGGCTGGCACATGTGTGCAGGAGGGGCTGGCAGATAGTGCCCCCTCCACCACCACCGTGCCCTCCTGCTGAACTGGGGTGATGGGTGAGGGGCAAACATTCCTGCTCCCTTAGTGGGTTTGGCCACCTGATACTTTGGAAACTCCAGAAATATGTCCCAAAATAGCTGGCCCTCTGCTTTTCCTTTTAGTTTCGTAGTAGGCAAACACTAACTTTGAAATACTTCCCCGATTTCTAACCTACCTTTTTCCCTTTTCTGGAGCAAAAAGCAATGATGTTTCTAAAAATCTGAGCAGACTGTAATTAGGCAGCCAAAGAATAAAGTCGGCATTTCCCATTAGGCAGCATTTAAAGGAGCAGAGAAATTTTCTCCTTGTTTTCCAGGAAAACATGGCAACCACGCAGGATGTAAAAACCAGCCGTAAAAGGAAGTTGGTCCTTTGGGATGCTTTTTAATTGGAAGCCTCTAGAGGTCAGCACCACATAAAGAAAGGGTTTCCTAGTGCTGGCGAGGCTCTCACCCGTTTCCTTGTGGAGCCTTTGGGAGATGCGAGAAAGGAGACCCCCAGCATGGCACGAAAGGAGTGAGTAGCCCAGCTCTGCATAGGAGGGAAAGGTGTAGAGTCCCTTCTTTATACATGAATCCTAGCATCGGACCCCAGTTGGTTTTCTTCCTTTCTCATCCATCTTTCTCTGCAGCTCCCCCACCCCCATACATACACACTGTCAGCTCAATAAGCACAACTTACTGACCGATCAATGAAGCATGGCATTTAGCTCCCTCTGAGAAGGGCTGGGAAAGTGCCAGAGAGGAGATGGATGGCATATTCATTTTGTTCTGAGCAAGGTGAAAGACCACTCCATGTTCTGAGGTAGCCCAGGCCTTTCTGGTGATCAGCGGGCAGGCTTTGTGAAGACCTGTTGCTTCCAACCTGACTTCAGGGTGCCGAGGATGGTGCTGGGACCACAGATCCCAGCAGGTCTCAAGTCAGGCTCCCTGAGGCCTGCACAGAACAGGGGTGGGCGGGGAAGGATTTGCACGTCTGTAGGACATCTGGCCAGAAGGTACTTGGGAGCCCCTAAAAACTGGCTGAGTCTCCTGGGAGCCCCAGGACACAAGATGCAGTAGCAGCATGGAATGTCACAGACCACCAGAGGGCAAAGCCAAAACCAGGGCAGCCTTGGGGGTTCCCAGTGGCTCCCAGAGTTGCCCAAGAAGGAACAGGAAGTCCTTTCCTTCCCTCTCTCCCCATTTCCCCCTCTGTTCAGGTTTTTTATTGTTTCTACTGCATTAGGTCTAACTCACATCACGGTCGTGGGATTGACAGCTGTCCTTTGCTGGGTGACTTGGCTGAGCTGGGACCCCCTCCCTGAGGAGGGAGATTGATGGAAAGGACAAAAAAACATGTCATAAGCATAGTGGAAGTCCCTACTGCCCTGAGAAATATTTTAACAGTGGCTTAACAGCAGCCTCACTACTTCCACTAGATCTCAGAATGATGTTCTTTGATTCTGGTGAGTGTGGACAAGGTTTGAGGTTACCTGGCTCACCAGTGTTGCTGCATCCTTTGTGAGTATGGAATAGCCCGAGGAGCTTTCGATCATTCTCCCATCAAGCAAACAGTTCTAAATGAATATACCCCAGCCGCGTACACTGTTACGTGTGATAGTTTATTTTAACAAACTTTTATAAAGCATTTTCTAAGTACTGGGTACTGTGCTAAGCTCCTTTAGACTCCTACAATCCTTCCAACAAAAGGTAGATGTTATGATTGATATCCCTCCTTTTTTTAATCTTTCTGTATCTCAAGGTTTGCTTTTTTAAAATTTTATTGAAGTATAGTTGATTTACAATATCTTGTTTAATTTCTGCTTACAGCAAAATGAGTCAGTTATATACACACACATATATATGACTCAGTGGACAGGAGTTCTAGTAAACTCCGGGAGACAGTGAAGGACAGGGAAGCCTGGTGTGCTGCAGTCCTTGGGGTCAAAGAGTCAGACCCGACTTAGCAATTAAATAACAACAACAACAATACACATATAAATCCTTTTTCATACTCTTCTCCATTATG